CGTGCAAGGCCCAGCTTCACCGCAGCAGGGCTTTGCCGGGCTAAAGTGTCAAGTCAGTTGTCTACCTAACTTCTTTCAGCCCTGCAAGGCTCGTGCTCACAAAGCTGGGCTTTGCAGGGCTTTTGGACTAATATACTTTATCTGATTTATTAAGTCAGTCTGAATATAATAGTAAATTGATTCATTCCCTCTGCCAAGGCTACAGACGCTTGGACGGTGATCATGACACTTAGGAGATGCCAAATACTTAGTCTGCAGAATGTGCCACTCAGTCAGTGTTTTTTTTGAATCATTGTCTTCAGTCATTGAGAACGCCCATACTAATGTTCAACATTGAGATTCGGCTTATCAGTGACGTCGGCCACGCGTTTCAGTGGAAGAAGGGCGGTCGCCATGGCCAGCAAGTGGCGCCTCAACAAAGCAGAGGAAAAAGAAGTAGAGAAGATAGGGGAAGCAGCCAAGCAAAAGTTGCTCTCTGAAGGTCAGTCACCCAAGGAGGCTGAAGAAGGCAAACAGCAGGCCATCAAAGCTAAGACTTTTGAGCTCAAGCAAGCTAAGGCGGACAAAGCAGCTGCAAAGGCAATAGGGAAATCATCAGGAACAAAAGCAGCTGCGAAGCTCGCTGTTCCAAGCGAAGTGAGACAGAACAATACGACCTACTACACCAGCTTGCAGGAGGCAATGTTGCTCATTGAGAATCACCCGCTTTTCCACCGCATCCGAAATGAACCTGCTTTGCTCATTACAGATGATGCCACAAAGGAATGTGGTGTTCAGGCTTGGCTTTGTCTGCCAATATTTTAATATGAGAGGGGAGCGCTGTGAGCGGCGCGTTTTTCGATGAAAATGAGCATTTTTCAACCTTTTTCATGCGTTTTCTTGAGAATGATTGATGTGTCTGACATTGCCTGGAAGGATCTGCCTGGAAGCGCCCAGATGTTATTCAGTAAGATCGGTCAAGAAACCTACAGTGATTATGAAAAAGAAGAACCAAAATTGGAATGATAGAATGAATGACTTTACAAGAAACTTAAATGATCACTTTAAACAACATAGAACACTATACGCTGAAGAGAAAAATATAGCAAACAAGGAGAAGATAGAAGACCGCAGGGGCTTATGGAATGCCTATTCATCACCAAGTGCTTTTTACAAAACAAGTAAGACTTTATACATAAGTGGCACAGGTGGTTGTGATGGATCTTTAACAAGGGATATTATGGATGATCTGTTATTAGTACCTACTAGAACTGTTCATCACAGTGAGAAATACAAACATGTTATAGAAGAATTGGAAAAGTCACCAGAAATACCCCGTTTGGTTGGGCATAACCTTGCAAGTGCTGTAATAAGATCAATCAAGAACAACCTAATACATTTGCTACAACAACCTATGCTACCCCTACAATAAAAACAAAAAGGAAAGGAACAAAAGTCCCAAAAGACTTGACTACCGCAATCCATCCGATATTGTTTCAATGTTGGATGGTTACGCTGTAACTTCTGATTTGAAAGAACCTAACCCTTTAATGAGCCACAGCTATATCAATTTTGAAGGGAACGGCCTTTGGAACATCAATCCCGGCACCAATATAAGCAATGGATTTAACCCCAATCACTCATTAAAAAAACAACATTTAAACTTAGTTAAAATATGTAATGTTATGGTGGATTACTCCAAGGCAAAATTTTACAGAATACTAAATGACAAGATGACGATGTCTATATTGGTGCTACTTGTCAGCCATTGAGTGTTAGAATGGCAGGACATAGAAGGGGGCGGAATGGCAAAGATAAGAAACATTACAAATTGTTATCACACAATCACCCAAACATTCAATGCTGGTGGCGGTGAAATTAATATGAATATTGTAAAATCATCTTCTAAACTGACTGGAGCATTCATTACCTTATTTAGAACTCCAAGGAGTGGTGAAGAACTGAACCGATACTTACCTGACAATTATGTATATAAGAGATGGAATTAATCCTATGATCTATGGAAGACTTAATGATACTGGTAATGCTGATACAAATGACTTACAAGGTACAAAGGTTTTCAAGATGCCACCCGTAGTTTAAGTTGGCAAATTCAATTAAGCAATTCCCAGAAATACACAGAATTTGAAGCGCAATCATTATCATAAATCTTTTACTATTTAAGAAGAGCTATACAGTACATGACAGTTTAAGTTTTTCGTATCGTCAATACAGAAAGAACAAATTCATTATTGGTATGTCATTTGAAAAAATTGCAGATGTCAATTTTACTGGTTATAATTCTAAAATGTCAGGTATTACCAATTTTCGAGTTAAAGGAGCAGAAGGAGCATTATTAGACCCTAATGAACAAATCACTGAGGGTTTCAGAGACTGTTCTGGAATTGAGAGAAAGTGGTAGTATTGTCTACTTCCAAGGAAATTGAAAATTTAAAACATCCCAGGAAATCAAAAAATCCAAAAATTCCAATTTTCCAAAATTCCAATTTTCCAAAAAAAAAAAGAAACCAAAAAAACCAATTCTGCACAGACCATGGGGGGAAGAGGGGGTGAGGCAAAGTCCTGGCACAATTGTTTTTTTTGTTTTTTTTGGTTTCTTTGTTTTTTTTGGAAAATTGGAATTTTGGAAAATTGGAATTTTGGAAAATTGGAATTTTGGAAATTGCCTTTGGGGGAGGGGGGGGGTTGAGGCAGAATAGTATTCTTTCAGTGGCACAAAAATCAATAGAAACGCAATACAAATATAGAAACAAAATACAAACAAAATGAAACAATGCAAAAACGCGCCGCTCAGAGCGCTCCTTTCTGTTTAATATTTGAATCTTGCATTTTCAAACAAGTTTGTCTAATCAGTAAGCACCGATGCATTGAAGTTTGCTGCAGGCGGTTTTTGATGAGTCTGCTGCTCTCACTTCTTTGCAGCGAACTGGGTGCTACAGGTGTGCTGCCAACCTATTTTGGGTTGACATGACCAGCAACGCTACGCCCGGTGTGCCTTTGTGTGTGGGGCGGGTCAAGGATTGGGCGGCAACTGTATTCGCAAATGGTCCGCACCATTTGAAAGAGATTGTGCTCATCCGTGTCAAGGCTGCCGATGAAGACTTGAAAGGCACAAGAGGGGCTTGGAAACAAATCAGCCCGGAAGAGTTGACGCATTCCATTGTGTTCCACTTGGCGGATAGAATCCAGAGGGGAGCTGATGAAGGTGAATTACAAGCGTGGAAGAACATCGTGCAATCTGCTCCGCTCATGTTCCAGGTGCTGGACACAGAGGATTCAGCCTACTGGGAGTCCCACAACTTGCGACAAAGGATTGAAGTTTCATTCTTTTTTAGTTTATATTTTAACAATAATAATATGATATCGACTCATTATTTTAAATTGATGGTGATTTATTTCAAATTTTGTGCCTGCAGGATTGTCGCAACCCATGACACAATTCGACGCAGTGCTCGGCAGCTTTGCTTTGAAGTGCACCTGTACAAGGAAAGGCAGGAGGCTAATCTTGGTGAGTCTTTAACGATCAAGAGGCTGCAGCAAATGTACAAGGACAAGGCAGGGGCCACGATGGCAAAAAGCGCAAAGCAGGAGGTTGGGGAGTCCTATGTTGGGGACTGCTTGAAGATTTACGACAAGCTTTTGTGCGACGACCTTGTGAACCAACAGTTGGATGTCTTGGAAAGCAAATGGCAGCTTCAATCGTGCTTGAACAGCATCCTAAAGCTCAAGACCATCGTGGGAAAGACAGATTCCTTGCAGGAACGCCAATGGGTTATCTCCTGGTTGGTTGATGCAGTATCTGCAAACGCTCTGTCAAATGACGCTGTTTCTGGACGACATTAATAAAAATAAAAAATTGTTTTCCAATAACTTTAATAGATTGCTGAGAGATTTCGCCCATTTTGTGTGAGAAGTGCCACTAAGGTTCGCAAACCCTACTTGCTAGGCAGTGAGACGAGTGCCAGCGCAGTGGACTTGATCAAGTTCAGAAGAGTGGCCAGTGACTTCTTCCTCGATGTCGAGTTTCCTAGGCAGGGCTTTGAGCTTGAGGACTTGAAGTTGATCAAGGCCAACATGGCAACGACTCAGAGCTATAGGGCAAAAGTCTCAGGGATGACAAGTGAAGAAGATGTCAAGACAGTTGATGCTAAGTGGCAAGCGCAGCTGCAGGTTTCATCCTTGAAGGTTTTGAAGCTGATTGAGGACCAGACTTAGTAGCTCTTAGTATTAGCTTTGCTCCCAATATTAGTGCCGTGCTTCTTAGCCATGTTTAATAGTTATATAGGATTAAATATCAGTCGAATCTTGCTTTTCTTTTTGATGCCGGTGCAGGACATGCTGTTTGGAGCTTGCTTGAACCCGGCATTCATAGCAGTGCTGCGTAAGAACTCAAGCAAGCCAGAGCCCTTGGAGTTGATCGAAGTGGAGACCTTCAAAGTCCGCTTTCAAGACTGCTGTCAAGCACGTGATGCTGAGAAGGCGAAAGACAAGGTTCTGGCCAAAGAGCCGGACGTTGAGATGGATGAGGCCACCAAAATTGAACGAGGGGTTGCGCCGCCTACCCCAGGGAAATACCAAAAAGGAACCCCAGAGTATTGGACAGCGACAGCTGCGCAACTATGCGACATTTATGTCCTGTTGCATGCGGAGCCACAGACTGAAGCTGCGATGGTCAAGGCAATTGCAGAGTCAAGCTTGGCCCCGACAAGCATCAGAGGCAAACCTGGCAGAAGTTGTGTGCTTATCCACCTGGATACGCAGTTGATCGGCGAGGCCAGCAAACGGCCGGCCTACAAGCTGCCTCCCATCCCAGATGGCCTGATGTCCAAGCTTCTGACAGCAGCGTTGAAAGCAAGAGGAGCCCAGCCTGTGAAAGGATCCACGCATTTTGATGCGCCCATAGAAGGTGATGTGGTCCTCTTGAATGACGGAGGGAGGAATGATGCTGATGCGTGCCTGTCTCACTTCAAAACGGGGAAGACGCGGCGGCCGGTCAATGCTCATATTGACCACTGGGACTTGAGCTTGGTCATTTCCCAGGAGACCCTGAAGCTGAAGCGCAAGAAGAATCGTGGAGCACTGAACCAGGCGCTTTTTTTTTTTTGGCGATGACTAAGACTTAAAAGATGCAGCCTCATTATTAGTAAGAGAGTCTTACTGAGACATTCATTTTTTGACATGTTTGGCCAGGTGCAAAAGATGCATTGGCTTTCAAAAGATCCTCTGACTTCCATGATCCCAGAGAAGAAGCATGAGACCTTCAGTGGCACCAACCGTGGCAACGCACTCGCCTTTGTGTCTTTGCCAACGCAGAGGCAGCTCTGGCACGCCACTGTAGAAGAGAAGAAGGCCCTGGGATCATAGTGGAATTCATGTACTTGGTTATCTTTAATTGTCAGATCACATCCAATTCTGGCTTTTGCTTTGCAGGAGATCTTCAAGGACAAGGTTTTTGGCACTTCTGGCGCCGACGATGATGACGATGATGGGGATGCTCAAGATGGAGGTGAAGCAGTTCGGAAAGACACGGACTGCGAACCAGTGTTCTTTCATTGCCTTCTAAAGGCATTGTATGACACTCTTTTGGGGAGCTGGTCTGTCGCTGGGATCCTGGATCTCAGTCCGGGTCAAGGAGAGTTAGCCAAGTCAGCGATCGAAAAGAGGCTCAGCTATGTGGGCATATGCCTGTCAGAGGCCCACGCGGTGAAGCTGAAGCAGGCGAGGGTGTTCCTCTTGAATGGTCTAATTAAAAAGAATGTCGTCATGACTGATGTTTTGCAGACACTGTTTTTTCGTCTTATTTCCCCAGGAACTCATTCGACACATCAAGCAAGCCATGGCCACAGAAGGATCTGGGCTGTATGCGCCTGAGTGGGCTGAAATTGCTGGCAAGGAGAGTTGACTGCTAGGGTTCTGTCAAGCAGTTTTTTTGGTTGATTGTTGTCGTCGTCTTCGTCACTTACTATATTAGAGATTACTATTTTTAGACCGTCTTTGGCTTCGTGTCATTGTAGGAGACGGCTACCAAAAAGAAGGCAGATTCTCGTGCTCAGGGCGAGGATGAGGAAGACGACGATGAGCCGCTGAAAAAGAAACAGAAGAAGCCGACGGGCAAGGGCAAGGCTAAGGCTAAGCCAGAAGATGGGAATGACAATGAGGATGATGATGCCGAAGACAAGCCAAAGAAGCGAAAGAAAGCGAAAACCGCCGCCAAAAAGTCTTTGATTGAGAGCTCAGAGGCAGACTCTGAGAGCTAAGTGCTGTGCCGCAGAAGGTGATGTCAAACAATGGCTTCTGGGGCCCATTGTGTCATGAAGCCGGTCTCAGTTGGCATAGTTTGTAAAACTTAATGCTTTTCACCGTCAGTGCCACTTTAATTTCAAGGATTCCTAGACAATCAGCTTTGCTGCTGTTGCTTCGCCATCTGCACCGGGGAACAACCAAACAACTTAGGCACATTTTGACCAGGACCGCGCGGTTGAAAAAAGGTTTGCTTCGTTGTTTATGTCTTGCATCCCCCTGGTTGCGTTATGTTCTTGAATTCTGTGAGCATGCAATGCTGTTCATTGACTGAGGAAGTCGATGATGGTCGATGCCTCAATTTTCCTGAAAAACGCAACGCCCACCAGGTCTTGATTTGATCTGGAAGTTTGCTGATGGGCATAAGGTGGCTTGCTGAATCTTGCCTCTGAGTGCCTCCTTTAGCCCGACTGAGATGTTTGTCTCGTGTGGTTCAAACATGTGCGCAATGTCAATGTTGGCAGGGCCTGAACTTCGAATTGCTTCAAGCTTCTTGTGAGTATCGTTGTTTGGTAGACCCTCCATTCAACATCTTTGGATTTTGGCTCGCAGCTTCTGTCAGTCAAGCTAACCTAAAATTTAAAATTTGTCAGATGAAACGCACTTGAAAATCACAGTTCAGGAAAATTATTCATGCTTATTCATGACTTTTCAAACTCAAGTCAGTCAGTCGCCTTGATCATGGAGGACCTACATTTTGCTGATGCCACTGCTGACAACGACATGACTAAGACAGCAAAGACTACAAAGAAGCGAACAAGCAAAAGGGTGACGGCATGGAAAAAGCCAGTCACCAGGAAGGCCCGGTCTGTGATGAAAACATGCGCAAAGACTAGGAAGAAAGAACAGTCTGAGTCTAAGTCAAACCCCGGGCGCGGTGCAGCAGAAGCTCAAAAGTTTCTGAAGGAACTCAAGGATTTGATTGCCAAGAAGCCTGATGCTCCGATGGTCAAGAAGTTGACATCTGAAACCACCATCCAGGTTGGATCTGATTGTTCAGGCTTGGGCAGTGAGCTTGTCAGCCTCGCGACAGTGCTTGGCGGCGACTGTGGCCGCATTCAGACAAAGTTTGTGTCGGAATCAGATGCGACGAAGCGTCTGTGGCTACAAGCTGTTGCAGCACACTTTGCCAATGAGACACCGGAAAAGATCTACAAGGACCTTAGGGACAGACAGAATGCTTTCGCACCTGAAACCCACCTGTTCGTAACGGGTGCCCCCTGCCCTCCATATTCTCAAGCAGGGTTGAACAAAGGCTTGGAAGACCTGCGTGGAGATTTGATCTTGCGTAGCCTTAGCTACGTTGTGGAAAAGCGACCGGTAATGGTCCTCATGGAAAATGTGAAGAATTTGGCCAGTGAAAAGCACAAGAAGGTGCTACATGAAATTGCTTCAGTGCTGCGGGCTTGTGGCTACAAGGTTCAAGCTGAAATCCTGAACACGCAGAATCACGGCATACCGCAAAATCGTGAGCGGGTCTATGTGATTGCCATCTTGAAGAGTTATATCATTGAGGGAAGAGAATTTTCTTTTCCTCAGACGTCGCAGATGGCTGAGTTGAAAAGATTCTTGAATGATGAGACTGACGCTGCAAACTCAGATTGTCGACCCAGTGAACTATGCCAAACTGCCAATCGGAACATCAGGAAAGCCAATAAACAATTGAAGAAGCAGCCAACTTCGCAGGAGGTGATAGTCGACGCTGCAGCAGGAAAAGGGTATTTCAACATGATGGTCGGCGTGTGCCCGTGCATAACCAAAGCACGTGGTGGTGAGCGAGGCTTTTACCTTCTCGGGCAGTCTCGCTACTTGAATGTCTTTGAGCAGGGGAGGCTGCAGGGGTGGCATCCCAAATGGGTCAGGATGCTGCTGAGGGCCTGCGATTCCAAGTCGCAGTTGGGCAAGGCACTTGGGGATGCTATGAGCTTGAACATTCTTCAGCGGTTGCTTCCACGCATGTTGTATTCTGTCGGTCTGCTGGCAAAGCTGCCAAAGGACAACTGGGCGCACATCCCTGCGCATGGCCCCATGCCGTCCACATTGTATGACTCGTGATGGCCTGTGGTTTAAACACTTCAGGCTAATGCTGTCGTGAAAAATGAGCGAGGAGGGATGTGCAATCGTGTTCTTGTGCATCACTGTGACCATGTTTTTAGAGTTAATTGACGTCAGTCATTGTCATTCTTCTGGTGCGAAGCGCATTGACTTGGCTTAACTGACTAAGTCCGTGGCTGCAGGGTTTCACAGCATCAAAGGTTTTCTACGCAGCCATGGCCCTACTTGGATTGTCCAAAGCTGAGAAGCTTCAAATCCGCTTGGCTCAAACGTTTCCCATCGACTATTTGGAGAGAAGAATCCACGAGCTCAAAGAATCCGAAATTTGGCATCAGATTCTAGTGAAATGATGAAGATGGCGTTGTAATAGCTATAGCTTATTTTCAATTGGAGATCCAATAATTCACACATAATCTCAGGGCTGGGGACAAGCACAAGCCTTTGGGGGTCGCTTGGAGAAAGTGATTGCGCTGAGAACGGGGAGGCCGGCAGTGAAGGAGCACACGGCGCCCAAACCTATGTGTTCTGGCTCTCCGCTACGTCGATGTGGGGCTTCAGACTTTGACTGACCGACTGGACTAGTACCTTGGCATGTTCAGCTCATCCATTACTGCATTGAAATGATTGGGGTTAACAATCTGCCTGCGTCGGGCCCTGCCACTTTGGCAGGGCCCCGCCGGGTTACATTAGGATGCCTGTGCAGGGCCCAGCTTCAAGACAGCAGGGCCTTGCCGGGCTAAAGTTAACCTATATATATATATATATAATACTAGTAATTTATTAGTCGTGATGAAAACTGCCATGGACTCAGGTTCCACATTTCCATCGATCTTTAATTGGCATTGCACATGCCGTTGAGTTTTGGCAAGCACGGAATTATTTGAAGCTCTTTGCTTGTTACTGGCCATCAAGTTGGAACAAGTGGGGCCTGCCCATTTGTCATGATAGAACTTGTCGTGAAAAAAATCCGCTTTGCTTCATCGCTCTTCCTGCATTGCTTGTGTGATGACTG